TATTTATGAATATTATATTCCATGAATATTATGTTACCATGGATGGATAGAATTGAAACTTGTCACGTTACTGTAATTAAGTAATTTTCTGGATACTTTTATGAGTGTTTTGTCAAGTTTGTATTTTCCTCCTGGCTCCTGAATGGGCTTAAAATTTATATGCAAACCTTTCTGAATCTCAGGCTGCTGAGACAGAGCATGCTGCACTGCAGAGATTCGCAGCCGGCTCGCAATTTGCAGTGATGTTTTATTTTGCCTGTGCAGCATCACACTGACCCGAACAGCGCAGGAGTTATTTTCAGGAGTATTTTAGGGACCAATGATCTTGAGATCCTGGAACCAAATGATGACAAATTAGGCCCTTGCCTGGCTGTTTGTCTTAGTTTGATCGATTCCTAGAGGGGGAAGTTAGTATTGTCGCTCAACACTCCCTGCTGTGCTGAACTTGATGTTTCCTTGTGGGGAGCGATGGGATCAGAGCCTAGATGCCAAACATTGATGCTATACATTTTCAAAATTTACACAATAGTATATTCCACATGACATAATAAATTGCAGATATATATATATATAGATAAGTTACAAGAAACAGAAATGTCAAAATTGGTTTGTCTCCATTACATAACTTGGCTACCAAAGAGCACTGACAAGTAGAGCTTTCAATTCAAATTAAAAAACAAATGTTATCAGATTTAAATATTAAATCTTGATATCAGTATCTGCCTCAAAAACCTCAACATTTTGGTAAATTAAACCAAAACAACCTGCTTGGGTTGATACCACTAGTAACACATGTAAAACAGGTTTCCCTTTATCATAATTTGGGTGACAAGACTCACCACACTGCATTTTGCCATTAGTTCAATGCATAAACATACAGCAAACATTTGCAAATCACTTTTCAACATGCAGTTTTCTAGCAGGCTAAAAACAACTGAACTAGCTTTAAAAGAATGGTAGATCACACATGAGACATTTTCCTCATCTCTTGCCTCTTTCTAGTTCTAAACAAAACTGCAGCTGGAAACAACCTCAAGGCAGAGAGGTGCCACATGCTGGGCAACTCTGCCAACATGCTCTGCAGGTGGTTGTAAGTAAGTTATGCTTATGGCATAGGAAGATAGATAGGAGGCTTCCTCACAAAGTAAGTACATTCCAGATTACCATGAGCAAAGGAATTCACACCACCATGGGCAGCAGCGCTGGCATGCATGTGATTTCAGGTTATACGAACAAAACATTGTTTTTACTTTTGGCATATAAATAATGCTTGAGGCCATTCTTAATTATAAAGGGATTTAAACAGAGACAAAAGCTGAATATACATGTTTATTCAAATGGTGTTGTGTGCAATAGTCCCAGAGATGAGATTAGTGAGTCGCTCAAAGATTTTCTATTTCTGCTTTCCTATTTAAATTGAAAACAAAGAAAAATCTAGCATCAGAAACAAACTACTAAGATAAAAAAATATAATCACTGCACTTTCATTGATGAATACTAATGGAAGCCTTAGGCCGAACAAGATTATGATATCAGGATGACAGCAATGAGGTCTGGGTAGGGCCACCCCACATTTCCCCCTGGTTTCAATCAAACATACTGTTTCCAGCATAACCACTTCAGTTGAAGTGGCCTCTAATACCGCAAATGGCTCTTTTTAACCAATCAAGGAGCGATGTGTCTAATTTTCTGGTATATATAGCAAATGGTACATGGTGATCTTTAAGAGATTGCAGCCATTCACGATGATCTATATCCTCTGAGTATACCTCTCAGCCACTGCTATTTGTGCATCACAGTGTCAAACCGCACTTTTGTCTCCTGAGAGATCTGTTATTTTGTGTCGGGAAGTTTGGAGTGGAGGTCAGGATGGACGATCCCAGTGTAAATAATAGGCTAAAATAATAGAGAAACACATCTGCTTGCTAAATGAGGGTGATAAGGCAGTGGGATGGCAGATAGAGAGATTTAGTATCACCTCCTTAATCAGAGTGCTATTGTCTGGAAAGAGTAAAGGTGTGATTGAGGAAAGGCGTGAAAGGAGAAAGGGTAGGTTGATTAACTACATGCATGTAAGAAAGGGTCACAGCGTCAATCAAGTCTTTTAGTATTACATCTAACTGCAGACATTGGAAAAAAGTCTTATAGTTGTAGTTTATACATAAGAAAGTATCTGAGAGTTTTTCCTTTTTGTTTAAATGCTCAAAGTGAAAACGCATTGTGAATGTAATATTTAATGTTATACAATTATTTTTTACATGGTTTAAATTATCTAATCTGTTTCATGTATGAATACTGTAATGTACACTCAAATTGGGTAACATATTTTGTTGGTATTAGACAGAATTGTCAACTTATTAAACTTTATTTCCATCTTAAAAAAAAAAACAACTCGGTGGACTAGGCGGATTCGAGACTCTGGACCTGGGAAACAATATATTTGATTTAGTTTAAAAATATTAAGATGCCGTGTTCATACTCTTCTAATATTGTATACTGTGGTCAGAATTAACCCCTTTTCCTTATCCATTGTTGTTTATGGATGATTATTATTTTGTCAGTGGTATTTTGTTACTGTTTGGTGTTTGTTGACATTACTCATACAGTTGATAATGATCTTTAAACTTTTATGGGGTATATTATGTTGTTCTTTTCTGTTCTGGATGGCTGATTCCTTGGTCCTTGGACTGTTTGTCTGGATTGGTTGTCTGTTGTCAACAGTGTGGGAGCTGATTTTTGTTACATATTCTTAATGCTGAAAGAAAGTGCTTCCAAAATAACTCAAAGTATTTGGAACAATGCAGTACGTTATGTAGCTCAGCTGATTACACTTTCCAAACAATCACGAGTTGAATTCTGCTTTTTCACTATAAGAAAAGAAATGAGTAGATAAGTAGAAATAGAATAGAAATATGATAATAATGAATGGACAGTAAAGGGAGAGAGGGATACTATTACTAAAAATCTACATACACTACATACAATAATATTGTATTTTGACTAGAAAATGATGCAGATAAAATTAAACAATGGACAAAAATCAAGAAGAACCATGTGTTATAACTGGCCTGGACAGATGGCTTGGAAAACAGAATACATTTCCTAAAGAGCAAAGACCTGTCATGTGGGCACCTTTATTTCATGGTGCGTTATAGTGCTTGTTCAATTTAATCACGGAGGGCTTTGTGTGTGGGGTCAATAAAAACTGCGTGAGAGGACTGAAAAGCAAACCCTTCTTTCACAACACATGCAGCTCATTCTGAAAAAAAAAAAGAATAAAAAATAACAGCCAACTATCGAACAAGCACATTCATTATATTTTGATCCTTAATGTACAGAACAACTGGAAACATTGAAGCAGAATGTCAAAATGTCACTTATAAGGATCTTGATACACAATCACATTACTTGTTTATTAAGAGGAAAAGAAGGGGGACATTATTTTTTCCATTAATGAGAAACCAGACAGCTCTTAATGAATGGGGTTTAATCGCCACCCACACACTGACACTTTACTATACACGCATTAATTATCTTCGCGTACACACACGCGCGCACACACAAGGAATCACAGCATCTTCACTGGAGGAACGAAGAAAAATCAGCCACCTCTGTGTTTGCAGAGTGAGATTAGAACATGACTGTAGACATCAAAGCGAACAAACAGAGGGAAGAAACATCCAAATCATACAGTGTTGAAGCAAACTATGCCACCCACCATCCGACACTGCATTCGCAACTTTGCAGCACTAACTGAATCATTAAAAACATCGAGCTATGAGCGTGAGGTTGGCTGACAGAATCGGCTAAATGGAGAGGCACCGTGGAGAAAGACAACATTTAAAGAGGATTATAGGAGAGGTGCTTAAGCGACCAAGCTGGAGATACGGTACACATGCCTGTTAATAAACAAACATTGTATATGGTTGTCATGGTTTGGAGCGTGCTGTGTGCTTCATGAGCTGTATAATACAGATAAAACATTTTAATAAATATTCTATAATTGTCTTCTAAATTTAGTTGATTTAAATGATCAGTTTGCAGAGCAGATCAGCTTCTATTTAAACAGAAAGTAGGGTTGGTGATACTGGGAGAGAACACGTGGGAACCACGGTCTGGGAATGTGAACGGATTCCAGTACATCTGTGTGACAGGTAAACTGATAACAAAGCTTGTCAATAATGGCTGTGTGATTGTTTTTATGAGTATGTGTGCGGTGGACGGTATGACTACAGTTGTGTGTATGTTTTTGGATGTGAATGTGTCCTTGAACTCTGTGTGATCCTTTAGGTGCACACCGTGATTACAAATCAAACTCTCCTCCCACTAGCAAGTTCATCAAAATCTCTGATTGCATCTTTTTGTGGCTATTCCTTGGGCTGAAGTGAAGGTGTATTGAAAGAAATCCCCTTAAACTGTGTGTGTGTGTGTGTGTGTGTGTGTGTGCGTGTGCATGTATGGATGCGTCTGTGTGTTATGTATGAGAAGGGGTTGCCAGGGACAACAGGCCAGTTGAGTAATGATCTGCCTTGACAAACACTGGTCGAGCCTGAGGGAAGAGACTCTTTGATCTAATTACGGGTGCACACTCAGAGACTGGTAAAACATCACCTCCTTCTGACCTTTGTTGTAACCTGTCCTCATTCTCACACAATATTAACTGGACTGGAATTTAATTGCAGTTATGCTCTTGATTTCTATAATCTTCTGATGCAGTTTTATATGTGTTCATAACATTTTTGGTAGTGGATCAGTTTTAAGTATGTGAGGTAGTAATGGAACAAGAAGGGGATGTCTTAGTGAGCTGCCGGAGTTGCAGGCTCCTCAGAAAGATAACCAACTTTACTGTGACCTGCAATCGTGTGGAAAACAGCTTGCACTGTGCGCAGCATGAAGTCAGACTGTAGTTGCTCATGGCATGATGGAAAAAGGCCAATTATTGACTGACTTCTTTATTAAAACATAAGTTTGTTTGGCTCTTCTGTTCTATTTATGACAAAATGGCTGCTCTGGGGAGTGTTCGAATTCAGGGGCCTACAGTGTTAACCTACACTTGCTGTTACTACAAGTAACTGCAGGTTTTGTGAAATTAACAAATTAACAAATTAACAACTAAAATCTGAAGGATTATAACTTTAAAGTTTTTGTCTGATTCAGCACTGGAGCAGGATGTTCCAGGGGCCTTCTTACAATGCTTGGCGAGAGGACTTGGAAGAAGGTGTGCATGAGTGTGTGTTTGACAATGTTTGTCGTTTTCTGGATACATAGGCACAGGAGCCTCTTTTGAAGTGTTAAGCAGATCTGAATAATTCAGTCCTCTCCAAATATAGGCGGAACTTTTAAATAATCATTTACATCGGTGAACTAGGTCGGGAAAGACGTCTGGAAACTACACACACCTACTGTACGCATAATGAGGTAACAACTGGTTGGAGTTTTACTTTTAACTTTTGATTGTTCTCCATTGGCTGGTTAGTTTATGCCTGCACAAACATGAAATGAGCTATCTGATGCAATGAGAAGGCAGGCAGTGACATCCACAGGATCAACAGTATGATTTCAAAGTGACTTACCTGCTCATGTCCTCCTGAATATAGAGCGAGAGCAGCTGTTTAGGGACGCTAAAGGACAACGTGCACTCCTCCATTTGTTCCCGCACAAGCATCCACTTGCTGTCCACTGTTTGAAATCTGTACACCTTGCATACTGGGTTCTTGAACACTGTAAAAGGAACACAAAGGGAGAGAAGAAAGGTATATTGAATCATCTGACGCAGCAGAAAATACATCACATTATCATCAAAGATAATTCTAAAATTAAAGAATTAATTAAAGTTTACAAAAAGAAAAGAGAGGATCCAAACCAACTTTGACAGCTGGCTACGTCAAGGACGCTACAGACAGAAACTCTTCAAAAGTTGCATGAGGTATGAAGCACAAATTAAATTCTATAATCAATAACTTTGTCTGCCATAGATAAGGCGTTTCTCATCTTCCAAGCCCCTCTCTCTCACTCTCTCTCTTTCTAATTCAGTGGCAGCACAGAAGACCAGAAGAGACTGAAAAACAGAGACCATGTCCTATTAATCTTTGCCATATTATTTCCTCCATTTCCATTTTAATTGCTTGTTTATTGTACAACACTGAAGCAGAATCATTCTGAAACTATCCTTGCTAACCCCACCACCCAGTTCTCCCATTAAAACCTATTCAGACGCAGCCCCATCTTCTTCAATTTTGCAGAGAGTGGCTAATAGCAGCAATCGAAGGCTGGAAACGAAAAACAGCTCTAATGCTCTTATCTGCATGCTGGCAGCAGAGGGCAAGAAAGCTGTGCGCCTTGAACACTGTTTACTACCCCTTTTCCTTTCCAGAGCTGCAGTCATAAAGGAAGTCACTCAGTAAGTCGGAGCTGAAGCACCCGGGGTGAAGCGTTGACAATCTCGCTCTAGGCAGTCAAACATGGCATGGTACCAGTAAAATGTTTTTGCTTGAATTCAAAAGTGGGAGCCACACTTCTGCTCCTACTGACAGTACAGAGAACACTCTGACGACAAAACCCTTTCTGTGCCTCGATCCAGCCCCAGATTGTGCTTTTTTCCAAAGTCATCTATCTAAGTGCCCAAGTCATTAATCCTGGTGGTGCTACGTCATTAGTCCTCCAGTGTTCAGTGATACCCTTCAATGCAGATGGGTTCAAGAAGGTGCACTACAGTAGGAGTTCTTATGTAGTAAGAGGATAATTATATATGATGCAATGTCATGAAGTGTGCTGACTGTCTGAATATTGGGCAACCATTTGAAATCAAAACAAGAAACTGGCTTGTGGAAAGTTTAAAAAAAAAAAGACAAATGTGTCTTTCATGGATTTAAAAAATGTCTTTAGCTTTAGCTCACATTATTACATGCTTTCCTGTCAATATTCTGTAATGTTCTTATTTTCACTAAATCCCATTAAAAACAAACAATGAATGAATTCTACCAACAAGCATTGTCTTTGTAGAAAAAAGTCTGATATACAATAGCTAATTCATGTGTGGCATAGAGGTCATTTTGTGAGATTTGTTTATAATAATAAGATACAAATATAGCATATCAAACTTTTCCTTTAAAGGTAAAAACTATGCATGATTAGCAAGATTAATATACAAATAAAATCCATATACAGTAACAACAACAAGCACCTTAGAAATGAAGCATCTGGTATTATACTGAAAAACAGTATATTCTGTCACTGTTTAGAACATTTTGTTATTTACAACAAACACATGTTCAACATCAAAACAGTGGGAATAGCTTGAAGATATTTTATTAAAACAGCTCGTTTTAGCTGAATTTCTTCTTCTTAAACATATGCAAAAACAAAGGATACCCCATAAACACAGGTACATGCAGGCAATAGAGATCCTCTGAAGGACAATAACTGTAAGACGAACAGACTATAGAAAGGCTTGATGTTAAAATTAACGATGATTAAGGTTATGCCTGGCCCTGGAATGACCCCAGAAAGGATTCATAATTGAGAGTAAATTAAATGGGATATTCAACCATTGTTGGCATGGGGATTAGAGAAAGTGGAATGGATGACAAAAATAAATGGGGAGCAAGGGACACATGGAGAGAAGGGGGTGAAGGCACAACCTTAATCGGAAGAGCGACAGTTGCTGACTTCCACCTCCGTCAGAGAAGCAGATTAACCCCTGAACTCGCCCCTGCCAACACACTAATCTGACCACCAATCAGAAGCCTCTGTTTCCCTTCCCGACACCTCTTAAGAAAATGACTTCCCCGACGTGCTGTGCGTAGGCTACCCTATCTCCCTGCTCTCTGCATGCTCATTTTGAAAGGTAATAAAAGTGGAAGACTAAATTGCATTACTCAATCTGGCGGGGTCTGCAGGGAGGGTATTGCTTTGACGGGCTGCAGATGTGCACCTGCAAACGTGGCTGCAGTTCACTAGCTAATCACAGTAGAAACAGTAAGCGACAATGACACCATAACAAGAGGCGTGGGGTTGCTGGGGAGCTTAGGCAGGTGGTGGGATTCTGGATAAAAGAGAAAACAGATCTGTGGAACAAATGAATGCACAGGATGAAAAAAGGAAGCTAGTTTCCCCGAGTCTCCTATGAACAAGGGCTGTGAAGTTTCAACACAGCAGGAGTCGTGACCTTTTCAAGTCTATCCCTTTTCTGTTTACATGTCTTTCATTCTCTCTCTACAATTCTCTCTTTCTCTACCAGAGAAAGAGCTAGCTTTCAGTGTCGCCACTAAATTGGTCTCACGCAGCTAGCAAGCCCTTTTTTTGCTCGTCTTCATTTAGTCCACAAAGAACCAAGAGGGTTAACCTTATTGCGAGATACCTCCCTCTATTTATTTTCTGGTGCCTAAAAACACCAAGACTGCTATTTAATAAAAGCAGGAAAACAAATTAAACAATAAAATAATATATATTATTAATATCCCCTGATTAATCTTGTTAATGGAAAGGATATTCAAGGGCAGTTCAATGTCAACATTAAGGGACGTCTGGATGAAGGAAGATGTTAACTAGCACCTTTTCTGCACTACAATGGAGTCTAGATAAATTATTTTAAGCTTTCCTTTGAGGCTACAACAACAGGGTAAAAATAACTAATAATAAATTAATAAATAAATAATAATTTTTATCATGAGTGGATAAAGACACAAAATGTACAGAAAAAAGAAGAAAGGAACATTAACAAATCCCTTCTTTGGCCATTTCCAAGTTATTTAGCAGTGAATGGTGAAATTACAGGTGTTCAGGGTGTGAAACATACCCGGCCCTGTTAGTGGGTTATTTTCTTTGTCGATGCAGGCATGGGACGCAGACTCACAAACCACGGGACACTGGAAAGGAAAAGAACAGAAGGAGAGAAATGGAAAGAGAATATTACTTGACATCAAAGTGTTGCTTTTGAGACAACAATATGAGGAGCAGATGGGCTTTGATCATGACTATTATGAGGTACGTCGAAGATGGCCACACCCATAAACAAGTGTAGCCTGTGACCAAAATTTCATCTCACAGCTTTGTAGCAATTTAAGTATGACAATCCCAAGTTAGCTTTGTCAGTCAATATAACTGACTTTATTATAACATTGTCAAAACTGAGTCAGCAACTCCCCCAAGTTTTGTGTTAAATTCAACTAGTTTAATTTAATGTATGTACTGTATGCTTACACAAATACTACATTAAGACTAGACCATATATGGAACCACACAAAGCAAACAGCTACTGCCCTGCTTTCTTTAGTGTGGGTGCTCAAGCATGTTTCTCTTGTGCCTTCACCGCAATCAGTGAAGGCACAGCAGGTGACAGCTGAAGGAAAACTCCTACTGTGACTTTATTGACTGGGTTGGTAATTTATTACCTTCACTGCCATTTCAGTCTTTATCAACCATATTGTTCTTTCCTCCTTTTGATAGTACTTTTCTGTGCACAGACATATAGTACAGAAACCACATGTTCATTAAGGTGACATGAACAGTACAGTAGGTTTGTACAGTACAACCGCAGGTTACAGAGCAAATTAGATAATAAAAGAAACAAGAACAAGAATACCTTCCTGCTCTGTGTGTACGCTCTTGATTTATAGCATCTTACCTAATACAGATGGGGAAGCACACAATTTTAATCATTCAATTACTATGTGTTATTGGGCAGCAGACCCATTATTTATAATGTTCTTATTGCTTATTTCAGTAACCCAGGGAGAGAACTCTGTCATAAAGAAGAAAATCCACCATCATACTACATATACTGTTCAATTTAATTCAGGAGAATTTTTCAAAATTACCATTTCCCAAACCCATTTTCCTTTAGTATTTTGAATGGTTTACACATGAATTAACGAACAACAATTGATTGTTTGCAAGATCCCTTTGTTACTGTAAGTTTTGCACATACAGAGTTTAAAATGAAAACAGTGACAAAATTCTACTAGATAAAAGCAGCTTCTTATTTCTGGACAGCAACTGTCGATTTTGACAGTTAAGGTAACAACTGTCGCTGGAAGATTTTTATCAGCTCTAGTTAATTAAGCTAGACAGTGGCTCCGCGACTTGATGCTCTCTCTGGTTGACTTTCTAATGTTTCCAGTTGACTTGTTCTAAAAGGAGAATATTGTAAAAAGATCCATGTAGAAGACATGGTAATGAAGAAACAGCATTATTCTTGCAGCATAGAGCTAGTCAGGTAAGAAAAGAAAAATGAAGCTCAGGCTGTTAGATACAAAATGTGATAGACCGAGCTCATAACGTTACCCTAAACTCTGAGAGCATCCAGAATCGGCTTCCAGACATTGTAGTAATACTACACAGTAGATATGTTGTGAATGGAGCTGTTTTTACCTCAACCTGTAATCTCACAAACAACTGTAGGTAGGGATTGATGTGTTCTTTGGTTGTGGAACTGATGCTTGGTTACTATTGTAGGTAGTAATCTAGTTAGCTTGTGTAGTAGTTTAGCATATAAATGTATGTACTTATTGCAAATGGTAGTGTATTCACATGTATTCACAAGCATTTACTATAAGTCACTTTGGATAAAAGCGTCAACTAATTATGTAATGCAGCTGGACTATTGCAGCTTACCATTACTGCTAACTATTGCAGCTTATGTTAGACAGACTGTTCTTTATACTTTTGCTTTTGTTTTGTAAAGGCAAAAAAAAAAATCCTTGTTGTTTGTTTTTAATGTAGCATATTATTGGTGCTATTCAATATTAAACCATCAAGTTAATTCAACAAACACTGTAAAACTACAACCCCTCTATCTGCACACTCTGCAACTCATAAAACCCAAATATGTCCATGTCACAACGCCGCCTTTGCTAAGTCTTTGATACTGAAAAACTTTGATGCCTCTTGATACGTTAAGACTGGGACTCCTCATCAAAGCAATACTGACAACTAACAATCTTTTTTGCTCACTGTATGTCAGCTCTGCCCTGTCTGATGAACCATTTAGCACAGCTAGACAGCCAAACCTGTCCCCAGAAAATGACTTTAATGACTGCTAGGAACAATCCATCGCCTCTCCTAGCTTAGAAACTGATCCTGAATAAAACAGACACCCAACCAATGCCCATGCTCACACACGCAGACAAACTCTAAAATAAAATGTGTCAGTTGAACAGAAGAACTGGCATCTGGAAATTTCAGTAAGTGCACAAGTAAGATATCTGATAATGAAAAGTATTAACAATGAGCCAAGGGCCACAGCTGTGAAATGAGTCCCATTGTAATTGTGGGCAGCGGAGAGCATGTGTTCGATGGCTCTTTGATGACTAAAATATGTAAAGAGACCAGATCAAAGGTGACTGGAGTCTCTTTCTTGTTTCAGCTGTTTTTTTCAGGGTCAGTAGGATATTCATAAGCAGCAGCCACCCAAGCAATGACAGAGAATGATCAAACAAGTGCCATAGACTCCCAAAGACACACAAACACACACACATACAGTACATTCAGGAAGCAAGACACGCACACGACTATGGTAAATTGAAGAAGAACTTCCCACAAGTGAGTCTTGAGTCTCGAGTGAGCCCTCCCTAATGTTTGTCATATCCCTTCCCTCTTTCCTCCCCTCATCTTTGACAACGGAAACAACACACACACACACACAAGGGGAACACATTCATCAAGACGACATGGGCAGATTGTCAGTGACACTCTGGAGCCTAGCAGGGAACCTCCCTGCACCAGCAACAGGGGTGGGCAAAAGAGAAAGCCAGTCAGCCATGTAGAAGCCCTTGGTCAATTATATAAGACAGTGATTCATACACACACACAGACACACAC